TCAAAAGTAATTTGCCATGATATTGATAATTGAAAATTGATTTGAATTTGCTTTTCTGTGAAAAGAACAATAATAGAATAAGGTCCATAACCTGTAAGTTGGCAATTCTATTTCTACTCTTAGCAACCAAATCACAAATTTTATTTAAGTATTGTTGTAATTTTTGTGTAGTTTTGTTAGAAAGAAAAAAAAAACATTCTAAAAGAGTATCTACTTGATAAATAACTCTGATTGGGGAGTGACTAGTGGCTATAATTATTAGCCAAATTGGAAATCTGACATCAACACTATCTAATTGTTTTGATGCAAACGCTTTTTCAATTAGTTGCAGTTCTTCCTTAGTTTCTGGAGTGAGTGAATGAGGACTATCTAAGTCCAAAGGTCCTTCCAGAATTTTGAAAACATTAGACAAAGCATAGGTTGGAGTTTCTAAAATAGGACGTAACCAATTAATATGACCTAATAGCTTAGAAAGTCATTTAAAGTAAACAGGGAATCCAATCGGAGTTGAACTTGTTGTGGAAGAATTTGAGTTTGAGTCAATTTATATCCTAAGTAATTATAAGTAGCTGTAGTTTGCACCTTTTCTGAAGCAATTGGAAGACTATAAGACTCTAATATACATACAGCTTGTTCAAACATTTCTTGTAAAACCATTAAACTCTGAGGTGCCAATAACATGTCATCCATATAATGAATAACGTAGGCTATAGAGTATCTCCTTCTAAGAATCTGTAACAGTTGATCAACAAACTGTTGACACAGTGTAGAACTATTCAACATACCTTGTGGCAGAACCTTCCTCTGGTAATGCTTGGGAGGCTTCTGCTGTTTCTATAATCAACAGTAGACAGGAACAGAAAAAGCAACACGTGGTCAGTCTTCAGGATGCAGGTATATGGTAAAAAAACAAAAACAAAAACAAAAACAAAAACCTATCCTTTAAGTCAATAACATACAAATACCAATTGGAAGGAATCATAGAGGGTAAAAGAAGTCTTAATTGCAGGGGTCCCATGGGCATAATAGTTTTGTTAACTTTGTGAAGGTCAGCGAGCATTCTACAATTGCCTGATTTCTTTCTTATCACAAAAATAGGAGAATTCCAAGGGCTGGTAGAGGGTTTGATATGCCCTTGCTCCAATTGTTCCTGTACTACTAATTTTAAAGCATTCAATTGTTCCATAGTTAATAGCTATTGCTACACCCTCACTGGATTACTACTCTTCCAGGATAACCTGAGAGCATACTTTGGGGCAGTGGCCACGATGCTGAATTTGACATTTGAAAGGAAATAACATGAGGGGATGGTATGGTTATCACAGCATTCCATTGCTGGAGCAAATCATGACCCCATAAGTTAATAACAATTTTGGCTATATATGGTCGGATTTGAGCATTATGCTTATCTGGCCCCAAGCAGGTCAAAGGAAAAATACTCTGAAAGATTGAATCTAGAGTCCCAATGCCAACAAAAGTAATATCAGCAACTTGTTTTGGCCATTCCCTGGGCCACTGATTTAGAGCGATAACCAAAACATCAGTGCCCGTGTCTAACAGGACAGTAAAGATTTTATCCTTCAGAGTAAGGGCCAATTGAGGCCTACTATTTTTTTATTTTATTTTTTTTATTAAATCATACCAGTGTACATTAATACTATCATGGGGTACAGTGTACTATTTTGCTATACAATTTGAAGTACCTTCATCCAACTGGTTAACATAGCCTTCATGTCTTTTTCTTAGTTATTGTGTTAAGACATTTATAGTCTACATTTAGAGAGATTCACATGTACCCTTTTAGGATGAACCATAGGCAAGATCCCGCCAATCACCCTCCCTGCACCCACCTTCCCCTCTCCCCATGTTCCTGGGCTAAAATTGGGTTATAGATTTCCTATGAAAGCTATAAATTAGTTTCATAGTAGGACTGAGTACATTCGATACTTTTTCTTCCATTCTTGGGATACTTTGCTAAGAAGAATATTTTCCAGCTCTATCCATGTAAACATGAAGGAGGTAAAGTCTCCATCTTTCTTAATGGCTGCATAGTAGTCTATGGTGTACACATACCACAGTTTATTGATCCATTTATGGATAAATGGGCTCTTGGGCTTCTTTCAAGACCTAGAAATTATGAATTGGGCTGCAATGAACATTCTGATACCAATATATTTATTGCAGTGTGATTTTTGATCTTCTGGATATATACCTAATAGAGGAATTATAGGATCAAATGGCAGGTCTATTTTTAGTTTTTAAGTGTTCTCCAGATGTCTTTCCAAAAGGAACGTATTAGTTTGCAGTCCCACCAGCAGTGTAGAACTGTTTCCTTTTCTCCACACCCATGCCAGCATCTGTGATTTTGTGATTTTGTGATATAGGCTAATTTTACTGGAGTTAGGTGATATCTCAGAGTAGTTTTGATTTGCATTTCTCTAATTATTAAGGATGGTGATCATTTTTCATATATCTATAGGCCATACACCTATCTTCTTTAGTGAAATTCCTCTTCAAGTCTCTTGCCCACCCTGAGAGGGGATCACTTGTTCTCTTCTTGCTAATACGTTTGAGTTGTCTATGGATTCTGGTTATTAAACCTTTGTTAAGTTGGCATTTCTGATGGTGAGACTGTTTACCTGGTCTTCCAATTGTTTGATCTGAGCAGCCACAGTGGCCACAGAGGTAATTACTTGCTTATTTGTGTCTGTATCATATGCTCTTGACTCCCAGTTCTCCTTAGGTCCAGCTTCCCACTGAACCTCACTATTCTCCTCACTTTCAAATTCTCCTTAAACATCACATTCTTCCTCATTTTCTAATTCTTGTGACTTCCCAAATAGGAAGTTATCCATTGTTTTCTCTAAATGTCTTTGTTTAATTATCAAAGACCTCACTTATTCTGAGAGTTTCCCTAGATTCTAGATTGGCCAAAGGTCCCACTTGCCCTGAGTGGAGTTTCCCTTTGGATGCCCTCCCACTGTCTACCAAAAGCCGCACTTACTTTCAAGTGTCACTTTCCCCTTTGGCCCACATCCCTGGTGTCCTGTTGTGTCCTGCTGGATCCTGCTGACTATGCCAGATGTAGGAATCCCTATGGCCCCTATGGCCCTGGTCTCAATCGCACAGGAAGGAACCAGGTGTGACACAATGTGAATTAGAAGTATAAACTTGCAGAAGGTGGGCTAACCTTGATTGTAGGGTAGCCCCAAGCAATCTTTGCTCTGCACTAGCCTTTTATTGAGACATTACAAGATACCTGAGGGGAGTATTAGAAAATGACATACTTTCTTTTTTTTTTTTTCACATCACTTAGGACATACCTTCTTGCTAATATTTTAATGGTATACATCTAATAATTATCTTAGAACATTTATACTTAGAGGACTTTTGCTTTATGTTTCATTTTAAAGTGAGCATTAAGGGAATGCAGTATTTTAATCAGAACTCTGCCAGTAACTCTGTCAGTAATTTTATCTAGAGGCTTGTTGCCATTTTTGTCTTCTATGAAATTTTCATCCCAAGAAAGGTAGGATTACACTCTTTCCTAACAGATTGAGTTGGTTTAGTGTACTCATAGAGCTTTGGAATTTTGAATTGGTTAAAATTCATGATGTGTGAAAAAGCATGATGCATAATGTGTAATGTCAGTCCCAGAAAATCAGATGTTATGTATGTACACTCGGGATCCGGAAGGACATGTCAAACTATAAACTGCTTGTGATTGTGGAAAAAAAAAAAAGTTTAGAATGGGAAAGTCTATAGAGACGGAAAATATATTACTGCTTGACTACCAGTGGATTAGGGAGCGAGAAGGGTAAATGGGTTTTTTATTGGTGATAATAAGATATTTTAAAATGGATTGTTATAAAATAGCAGTTATAAAATTCTGTAAATATACTAAAAACATTGAATCATATGTTTTAAATGGGTGAATTGTATGCCATATGAATTATATCTTGATGACATTGTAAATAAAAAAGATTGACATTGCATTAACTGACAGATGGATTAAAGAAAACAAGACTAGAAGTAGAGAGACATGTTGGGAGGTTTTGTAATACCCCAGCTGAGAAAACTAGAGTCTAAACTAGGGCAGGAGTAATGAGAATTAGAAAAAGGAGAAGATGGCTATAAAATATACCGTAGAGGTACAATCAGCAATATGTGTCATTTGGTTGGATGTTGAATTTATGAAGGTGAGGAGACAAAGAAGACAAAAATTTTGAGTTTGGGTATATTAGAAAGTAATAATGTTATTTTTAGACACTGGGAGCACAGATAAACAAGGTTTTTTTTTCAAAAGAAGTTGAATTCATAACAATGTCAGTTTTTGAGGTGTTCTCAAAACAATCTTTAAAAAATGTCCAGTATCTAATTGAAAATTCTGGAGTGGAGTTTAGTAGCAAAGGAGGTCTGATTGTAACTAAATGTTGAAAAGTCATTAATATATAAAAGATCATCAATTATATCAGAAAGGTGACTGAAAGCTTTCATGGAGAGAGTATGAAAAGAGAGGGGAAGAAAACAAGAAAGGCTTTTATGGAAACAACTGCATGGAGAAGGCAAAATCAGGGAAAAAAGATCCCCAAATGAAGATATTATAAGTAGAAGAAACATACTTGGTAGGCTGAGGCGAGAAAATTGTTTAAGCCCAATTGGAGGTTGCTGTGAGCTGTGATGCCACAGCATTCTACCCAGGGTGACAGCTTGAGACTTTGTCTTAAAAAAAATTAGTAGAGGAAAGAGTAGAAGGGCTTCCTTACCAAAGGAGTAAACGTGGGCTTTTAAGGATTGGGAGTGTAGAAGAGAAAAATTGAGGGTGTCCTATGAGGCAGAAGAGCAAGGTCACATAAAAATGGAGAATATTAGAAGAATGATAGAGAAAGATCATCAAAGTGCTAGGACCTATCTACAGTGTCTCTTGAGGAGACCTAAATGTTGAGAGAAATTTCTGATCGATCCAACTGGAGGCCTCAGTCTCTTGTTACCTTTCCTAGGTGAGATGCTCACTTATCAATGGAACATACCAGAGAGATCTGGCCCTGGCCCCAATGACTCTGCTTGTGTTTCCTGGATCTATTATTCTGCAGTAGATCCCATAAAGGTAAAAACAAACTTTGCTTCTTGAGTCTCAGAAATGGACAAACTTCCTGGCAAAAAGAAGCTATTAACTAGATGTAGTAAGAAGCTCACTATTGAGATTTTAGAGCCTAAGAAGTGGGGACAATTTCTCAAATGGGCAGGAGGTAAGATAAAGGTAATGGGTAGCACGAGTTATTTGTCCTGATGAGTTTCTTCCTTGTATCTTCTTTTCCATCCTATAATGCAATATGCTCTCATTCAGATAAACCGAGGTTTATTATCTTGAGATTGGAGTTCAAGTACCAAATTTAATTCTAGCATACTTTTGGCTTGACTTCAGACAAGTCATTTAGCCTGTTTTTACTCATATGGGAAGATAATCTTTCTATCTGTCTATCTACCCATTTACAGCCAGCCATCAACAATCATTTATTGAGTGCCTACAACATTTTTGGCATTTTACTTGATGTTTTAAATGATATAAATGTGAGATCACATTTTCCACCTTCAAAAAGATCTAGTTGAACAAGAGGGAAGCTGGAAAAGGCATCATATTAGTAGGTAAATGTACTCTGGACCTTGAAAGTTGAAGAACAGTATAATATCAGATAAGGGATATAGTGAAGGAGAAGGAAATTTAGGCAAAGGAAACAATATGAGGAAAATGGCACTGAATGTGAAACTGCTTGTTTTAGAGATGAAGGGACACTTTAGCTTAGCTAAAGCATAGGTTACATAGTACTTCTTACCTAAGTCCCAAAATAATTGTGAGATTGAATTTAGATAACATAGTGAGGTGTTTGTAAATGTAAGAAATAATGATTGAAATGCTGAAGAGTACAGTAGGCTTGTATGAGAGCCTGACTCCCAACAGAGAGCTGCTACATAGGAACAAACCCATCTTTCTCTTTCTCTCTCATTTTCTCCCTTCCTCAGGACATGTACAGTGGCCTGGTGGGGCCCTTGGTCATCTGCCGGAAGGGCATCCTGGAGCCCCATGGAGGACGGAGTGACATGGACCGGGAATTTGCATTGTTATTTTTGATTTTTGATGAGAACCAATCTTGGTATCTGGAGGAGAATGTGGCAGCTCATGGGCCCCAAGAGCCAGGCCATGTTAACCTACAGGATGGAACATTCTTGGAGAGTAATAAAATGCATGGTCTGTAGAAATGAACCTATTCCTTTTCCAAAGAAGGCCCTGCTGGTTTCATTGGGTTATTTAATAGGCCTATTATTACCTGAAGGAGCATAGAAATTTAACATGAGAAGGAGGAACAGGGACAAATTGGAAGAAATATTTGCCATTATTACACATTTATGCATACAAAGCAGATATATGGTCCAGATTAGATCAGGAACCTAGAAAACAGGATACTGATATAGTAGAGTTGTTGTGACACTGCATATTTTAATGTATTAGGGAAGATAAAGATAAACATTCATGAACCTCAATATACCTGGTGAGCAAGCTGCTTAGGGCCCTTGTTTTAAAATTCTAAGTTTAGTCTCCCAGTATCATTTTTGTTTTTTACCACTCTGAATTTGGGATCTACTTTCTCACTGGGTTTCTATATAGAAAGATAAATACAGCTTGTCTTTTAGACTGTTTTCAATACAAAAGTTCAATTTACAGATGGAATAACTAGAGAAGAGAGCCTCATGGCGTAGCATACTAGATTTATATTAGGTGCAAGGAAAGTGTTTAAATGGGTTTTGGAGGGAAATTATGTATCAAAACCTTCCTTTGCCCTAGAGATCTATTATTTGTGTAGCTGCAGTTTTCAAAACAAGAAAAAAAAAAAAAAGAGAGAGAGGGAGAGCTTTAGTACAGCAGAATGTGTTGAAGTGATCTCTCACCATCCCTTATTCACCAAGATTTCTTTGATCTGAGGATGAAATGTAGCTTTGATGGTGACTAATAGAACTCAAAAGTAGTATTTCATTCTCCTGCAGATTTTAGCTATGTCTTTTTGATAGAGAGATGAATAATTCACATTATAACAGATAATTTACAAACTTCTCAAGGTGAATTTTTAAGCTCCCATCCCATCAGAGAAAAATGACTTAAGACAAAAAGGGAATGAGGACAGAGGGAGGGCCTGTTACTGTAAGGGTTTGTCTAATGCCCGCTTTTATCTATTTGTTTATATGTTTGTTCATCCAAACTCATCAGGTATCAATCTATCTACCTATCCATGTATCTAGCAGTTATTTGTTGAACATTTTCTGAATATTAGAACTAGTGACATAAAGATAAATAATGTTGGGGTCTGAGAGGACAAAAATATAATATCCCTCCCTTCTCTTTCAGACTCCTGAACCAACTTAGAAAGAGAGATATTTAAGATCAAATGTGAGCTTTATAATAGAGAAGGCTAATTGAAAAACTGAAGGCAGGTCTACAATTAAATGAGCATTCTAATACTCTTGAAATAGATAGATTTTTTTTTCATCTTGTCATTGACATATATGGATAACAATAGCTCTTCCCCTTGGCAGATGCAAAATCTTACAATGAGATAGTAGATCTTTTCCCCATTTTTTTCTTTTTTTCTTCTCTCTTTCTTTCTGTGTGAGTGTGTGTGTTTGTGTGTGTGTGTGTGTGTGTGTGTGTGTGGTTGAATTAAGAAAGACAGAGAGTATCCAGAAAAGGCTCAGTTGTTCATGTTTGGTAGGGGTAGATATAGAGATTGATAATAAATGTTCATTTTACCTGTTGAGGAGTAAAGTGGAAATTACCTTTCCTCTGTGAGAACCCAAGAAGAAGGGGTAAAATGTCCTGAGCAAAGTCCAGACAGTGAAAATTAAAACTGGAATGAGTATTTTGGTGTCCTTGGTACATAGGATGTGACCTGGGGGGAAAAATTGATGAGGTGGTTCATGCATTAATGTCATTATAACATAAATTCCATAAATTTTAAAACTCTAAAACATTTATTATAGGCTCACATGTCTAATAGGTGTTCTGAAATAAAGTACAAGAAAGCTATAGTGCTGTAGTATTCATTTTCCATTTACTATGAACCTATAGTCCAGCTGGGCATGTTCCACACATTAAAAGATAGGCAACTACAGAAAGCTGTTTCTGGTGAGTTCCATTGAGTCATACAAATAGTACTGGAGGAGTTCAGAAGAACAATGGGATGCAGGGAATGAGAGGTAGGGAGAGGAGAGGAGATAGAAGATCAGGAAAGTCGTCTTGGGGAAGGTAAAAGGATTAACTGGGTCTTGAAAAAAATAAAAAGAGGTAAGATTATTGGGAAGGAAACTTATAAATCTAAAAACACAAAGAATGTACATGGATCATATGGGGAATGAGGAATAAATCACTTTAATTGGAATAATTGTTAGGTAGTGGGAGATGACTATGGTAAGATGATTTGGAGTTATCCTGATGGACCTTATTGGCTTAGGTAAGAAGACATATACATGTACCTCTATTGAGAGGGAGGTAGATATTTAAATATTTTAAGCAGCAGAATTAAATGGTAAGATTAGTTATTTAGATAGATAATTCCAATAACACCAATGTGGAAGATATACCATAGTGGGAGAGGGGTACAGGTGGAATAAAGATGAGACTAATTAGGAACCTATTGCTGTTGTAGATGATAGGGAATAGACCTAAACAGTGGTGATGGGAAGTCAAAGGAAGAAATGTAAGACTACGTCTTCTTTTACAGCCATCAACGGGAAGCTCTATGCCAACCTAAGGGGTCTTACTATGTACCAAGGAGAACGAGTGGCCTGGTACATGCTGGCCATGGGCCAAGATATTGACATACACACTGTCCACTTTCATGCAGAGACCTTCCTCTATCGGGTGAGATGGAAAGAGGGCTGAGTCCCTCAGGGCTGATTAGAGGAGTGCCTTGACAGATATTGAGGAAGAGGGGGATAGCAAAAAATAAGGTTGTAATCAGTTACAAGAGTAGAGGTCTAGTACATGGCCAACTAGTGGGGGATTCTAGTCTGACTATATATCCTAGTATCAGTCAATTACCTCTAGGCAATAGTTTTTTGTTTTTTGTTTTTTTCTGATATGGAAGAGAAAAATGGGCTCCTTGCGGGTAAGGAGATTGAAGGATTCAGTGTAATCAAGTCAATGACTTGAGACTCAGTGAACAGTGATCTTAACAGCAATAAATTTCAGAGTGGCTTTTCAGCATCTTTGAAAGTCCTTAACCTATTATAAGAAGAATTTCAATTCAGGAGGTACATAGAAAAATATATTTATATATACATACACACACATATGCATGTTTATGTGTATATATATATGTGTGTGTGTATATATATGTATATATGCATACACATATTTATATATACATATATATATATTTAGTTTTAGGAAAGATTTGGAGGCATTTAAATAGGTTTAAATATCTAGAAGTGCAGATAAAGATAATGGCAAGGAAGAGAACCGAATTTTAATGCATTTCTAAAGGAAATATGTGGGTAATTCCTAGGGGTCAAAGTTTAAGCCAAATGCTCCAGCTTTTAGCCTGCTTTAAAGTATGGAGGTTTTAGTTTTCGGCCATCTATAGGATCTAAATGTCTTTTATTTAGGGACATGTTAAGTAAAGGGAAGAAAGAATCTCCTCTGTTGATTTAGTTTACATGGGTGGATTCATAGGGAAGATGAATAAAGTGGAATTTTAACTCTGATCTCTGGTATAGGAATCTTATCATCTCAAATCTCTCATATGGATATCACCCAATTTTAGTTCTTTATGAGTGCTTCACTTATCTTCCACTCCCAATCTCTCATCTTTCTTGCAGAATGGAGAGAGCTATCGGGCAGATGTAGTGGATCTATTCCCAGGGACCTTTGAGGTTGTGGAGATGGTGGCCAGCAACCCTGGAACATGGCTGATGCACTGCCATGTGACTGACCATGTCCATGCTGGTATGGAGACCCTCTTCACTGTTTTGGCCCAAACAGGTAAGGCTTAAGTGCCTAAGAAAGATCGGCTTCTAACAAACATGTTAGACTATATGAACAAGAAAATACTAGGAAACCTCTTGAATCTCTTCTGATCCCAGAAGAATCACGTCTTAATACAAAGCACAGTACACCTATAGGTAGTCCCCCAACCAGTGTTGCTCATTTTCCATTGCTCCCCTACCAGTGTCCCACCCTGGGGGCAGGATCCTTCAAGAACTGTGGAACTGGGGGTGAGTGATGAAGAAAAGTACAAGTTAAAAGGGGTGAGAGAAAAAGACAGGACATGCAGAATAGAGTTTTCAAAGGTAGGAAACCCAAAGTTCTACCACCAGCTTGTGGGAGTACAGCAAGTGGCCCTCAGTGTTTGTTCTACTGAGCTTTTATTTATGGCTATTATCTCATTTAGCCCAGAGGTAAGCTGAAGAAGGGACCAAAAATGTCACCAGTTTCTTTAAGTAAGCATGTTAGTTCTTATTCTGTCTATAATCATTAACTTTAAGGGTCTAAGCAGCCTTGAGAAATCACTTTAAGGGTCTAAGCAGCCTTGAGAAATCTGAAACCTGAGCCTTGTAGGGGGCAGCTTCCTGTCTGTGGTAACACACACATATTCCGTAGGGGAGGTTAATCCCCTTTAATTCTTTGTGAAGTAGATTCCCCAGTAGCTTCAGTCTCCTCTGAAGAACTGGTGGAAATGAGAAATTTTCTTCTTATCTCCAACCGAGAGGCATATTCTTCTGTGATAAGGGTATACATCCTCCTGCCCATATTTCAGGACTTGGGCTGTTCCCTTGATCTCTGTCCTGGACATAATACAAATCCCCACAATGGGTATTTGTCTAGACTTTTGACTGGGCAGGAGATGGCTTGCTTAATGTTCCTCCTTAGGCCTTGCACATAGCCTCCTCTATAGCCATAATCTTCTTTAGAGTGTTTACAGACTCAGCAGGGGTGTTTGCAAGCTATGTCCCTTACAGGCCAGGCTTCTAGCAAAAGCAGGAACTGCTCAGATAAGTAATTTAGCTGCTGTCTTAAAAGTAATCTAGCTAAACTATTTTTGAACTATTCCACCTTGCTCAACTGTTTTCTGTTTTTCCCTTTTTCTGGGGGTGTTTTTCCTTGCTTAGAATGGGGTCTTCAGTCCCCATTCTGCCTGCACCCCTTGATACTTTCCTTTCTCTAATTACTTAGATACTTATTGAGTTCACTTTGTTGACCCAGCATGAAACTGGTTGGGCTCTATGCATCAATGTTTAGTGAAAGTTTCCTTCCTTTGAAAGATGATATATATAATTAAAATATATATTTACTTAATCTTTTAATTTCAAAGGAAGCAAATCTATATTAATTTATATAAACATACATATAAATTTATTATTTAGAATACATTAGGAACACTGACTATTTCAAGGAATATTTCTAATGAGGCTCTTTTTAAAGAGGAAAAATAAATTCTAACAATCACTGCTTGATTTTCTTGTTTTGTGAGAGCTGTGAAAAGCAGTTTATTCTGTCCTGAGAATAACTCCATCTAAGGCAAGAGAGAGAGATTGACCTTCAGAGTTGCTACCAAAGGTGTAAGAAAATTTTCCTTTATATTTTGTTGTATAAAGACGGGATAGCTGGGTCAGTTTCTTTACCAATAACCCTTTTTTCTTTGCCAAGAATGTAGGCTGTGTTGGCTTTTTGTTTTTGGTTATTAAAGCATTAAATGTTTCACTTTACCAAAGTCCAGCCCCCCAACATTATGTCTCTTCTAAGTACCTATGTAGAGCATCCTTGAGCCCAGTAATCAAGCTTGTTTTTCTTTTTTTCTTTCTCTGTGCATTTTTTAATGTCATACTGCCACCATTTAAAAAATGGTATTATTAAAGTTGATATTCTGGGGTTGTCAGCCACTGGCACTTTTAACAACAGGAAAAAAGAGTAGAAAAATGTCTTTGGCCATTAGAAAAAATTTAGAAAACCAAAGTAGAGAATAACTTCAAGGAGAGAGACAAATTATTGTATATTATAATTCCTATATCATTAAAAGCATTTATTCTCTGGGAACCCATAGTGCTAGAATGTGGCTTTTACTTACCACTTGAGTACTATTCCCTAGCACCCAGATAGTTATACAGAATTTTTTATTGTGTTATGTTATTCTTTAAAATAAAAGTCAAATTATTAATTGATATGTCATCATGGTGATATAGATCCAGGACAACAGTTTATTTTCATATGTAATTATAGATCATCCAAATTAGCTGTATAAGCCATTCAGTAGGGCAATTCCATGAGCAAGGATAGCTCATTTTTCTCTATAACAATGAGGCAGCTTATAAATCTTATCTATTTTTTGTTTATTTACACCTCATTGTGGTCTAATTCTAAATTGCTTTTACTCCATATTTCCTAACAGTACAACAAGAAGGAAGAATTGTGGTTAGATAGGGAAGAAATGACTAATTATTAGAACAAGGTTTCTGATGAGGCAACAGGGGAGCTAAGATGAAAGATTAGTGCAAGAATGAAGGAAAGTAATCCTTCTACTATAAGAAGAAAGAAGACAGAAAAGGTAAGGATCAACTATAGGTTTGTAGGGGAGAGCCTAACAAAGAATTTTAGCCTTCAGTTTGCTGTTTCTTCTGTGATGGGGAAGATAGAGTCATCTTCTGCGAGGTAAAAGCAGGTGGAGTATTTAAGAAAAATAGGCAAATTTTGAAATAGTCACTCTGTAAGGTGGAACAGAAGTCATTATTACTAGGCAGCATTGAGGGCTTAGGTAAAGCTGGATAAAATACTAATACTAAAGAATACTAATCTTTACCATTGTGTGATTTTTTTTTCCAGCAGCATTCAGCATACCAGACAAAATATAGGGAAAGTAAAGTTACTGGGGTTTCATTAGTTTATTGCAACATTCTTGATAAGTTAATGGTTGAAGTGATAGACATAAAGTCAAACCTGGCTAGCAATGGCAAGAAAAACAAGATGAAGATAGCAGGTTAGGAAAAAAATGAAAGAATTCAAAAGCTAGAGGTCTCATGAAGGGTAGAATAACAGGATTTTTAAATAAAAATATTTGAGCACTGAAAGGATAAGAGGTTGTTATATTTTAGATTTCTGATATGAAACAATTCTGTATAATAAGTACAGTGTAACCATTGGAGTGGTTGGTAAAATTGGAGAAGACATGAAAGCCTTTGGAGTTAAATGTTCCATTAACTATGAGGCTTGAGTATTGGATGAATCAATACCCATGTTGGGAAATGAGGAAAAGGAAGACTGGGCCAAGTACAAAGCACTTCAATGAATGAAGAGATCTGCTAGGTAACAATAACAAGAAGTGCTTGTGGTTTTTCTAGCCCAAAAATATGAGCCTCAAAATAAATATATCTTTAAAAAAGAATAAAAGAAGATTTTATATTGTGAAATGAAGCATAGTCCTCAGAGAAGAGACAAGTCTCATGAAAAAGAGAAACAGAAGTGTTCTGAAAAGAGGTTAAATGTTCAGGAGCATCCTGAAGGGAGGGTGGAAAATGGTGTGAAAGAAAACAAAAATGGAGATAGCAGAAGTGCCAAAATATGTAAATAATCGAAGAGGGGAGGCTTACATTTTGCACTCCCAACCCTACACTCTTGCCCATATTTTGTGTCACTGCTCAGCATCAAATCAACATACCAATATTGACTTTGATCATAAAGTAGTTAATTCCACAGAGAAATTTCTCCAACCAACACTGACATCCAACAGGGAGACTATAGATTGGTAGGATGAGTAAAAAGGCTAACCTATTGTCTTTTCCCCCCCCCAGAACACTTAAACACTATCACTACAATCACCAAAGAGATTGAAAAAGGTAGGTTGAATGATGCACCGACTGGATAGTTATATGTGGGGTCAGGAACCTTGAGCAAATGAAACTCACATGATTAAAATGTGGGCATCACCATATGAGCAGAAAGTATCCTGAGATTTCTATAAGATTTTAGAGACTAGGGAACCAAGGTTCAGCTTTCTTCAGCAGGTTTATCTCTCTACCTCCCAACCCCAACCTCCTAAGTTGGGGGAACAGCCCCATTCTCAGTAGGAGACTGTTGTCTTAGACTCCCACCTAATGTGTAAGGGGAAAGAAAATTCTAAGGTCCTGCTGGATTAGGCATGAAAGAGTTGTAGCAAACATGGATTCTGCACAGGAACAATGTGAGGCTAGAACAAACACCAGATGATATATTTATTCTTGTCTCTTTCCCCTTCATCTAATGAATGCTGTGCAATTGAACCTTTGGAACCACCTATTTCTGCCTTTCAAAAAAAATAGTGATTATTGTCTTATGAAGCCTAGGTTCAAATAGTGCTTTTATTCTTTACTGATTTATAACTGGATTGGGAAATATTCAGAAAGTTATCAGAGCTAAATGGGACATTAGAGATTATCAGTTTAGTCTGGAGGTTTTTCAGCTGTGTTTAGAGAATTCCTAATGATCTCATGAACTGTTAATCCGGTGTCTAGACCATCTCCTTGAGGGAATGGGGAGAGGTAAGGCGAAGTTGAATGAATGGACCTTCAGGATATGTCTCCTGCAATTTGAGCAGCTCAAATATTTTATAAGTATATACACACATGTTTGTGTGGACATACCTATGTTGTGTGTATATTTGTATATGTACATAAATATTTTGTGTGCATACATATATTCTTCATAAGCTCTGATTTGTTAAAAAGTTCTATGATGGGATAAATACTTTCCAAACTGTTGATCTAATAAAATTTGATAATTTTCTACACAGGAATCTGAGAGATGGAAACTAATTTTGCCAAAGTCATAAAAGATAGCATGTAAAGTCAGAATATTTTTCTGTAAATATTTACAGAATATTTTGTAAAGCCAGAATATTTTTCTACTTCTATTTGAATTCATTACATTCTATCTTCTCTCAATTATAGAACATTAATTTATCCAGTTATACATACATAAAACATTTGCCAAGTTACTAAAAAAATTAAGATATGCTAGTACTTTTCAGTGTCTAAAAATGGAATGAGATACCAGAACAGTAATTGCATTGTTGTATTCTATGTATTGTACAAAAAGTGAAAACAATGACAACAGCTCACATTTACTGTGCCCTAGTTATCTGCTAGGTGTTACTCTTAATATTATATAAGTATTAACTCACTAAAATCTGACAATAAGTCTCTGTGCTAGATATAGTTATTATCCCCATTGTAAAAGAGAAAATTGAGATTAAATGGGGACTAGGAGATTAGGTCACTTGACCAAAGGTAACATGGTAAGTAAATTATGAGAGTACAAAATATAGCACTTTGAAAATATAGAGTAAAAGGCCTTTATTTGTCCAACTAAATTGAAAAAAAAAAAAAAAACTTTGCAGAGACATGTAGCATTTAAGCTGGGGTTAGAAAGATAAGGAGAAGAAAGAGTGTGGTCAGGCAAATGGAGTATCATGAGCAAAGGTTGAGATGTCTGAAAGAGGATCCTCTGTTTTAGGGAGCAAAGAATAACTTTCTATGGCTGAAGAATACTAGATAAGACTAGAAAAATAGGTTAGAGCGAGATTGTGAGTAGTGAATTTTCTAATTTAAGAGTACGAACTTTACTCCATAGTTTATTTGGGAGCCATCAAAAGTTTGTATGCCAGGAACTAATACAATCAGGTAATTCACCTATGAGATCTATGTGACATCAGTGTTAATATGTACCAAATGAGAGACTGTGAAGCACAGTGTCAGATTATTTTCATGGTCTAATGGTCAGAATGAATGTTGATAGGCTGGATGATGGAGTCAAACTTCTTTCCAGAGTTTTCCTTATTGCTTCCAATTCTACATTCTGAAACCACAAAGACCAAGTACAATTCTTTCTTTGTTTCTTTTTAGCAACATGAGCCTTTAGATATTTGAGAACATGTATCAAGGGACCTCCCACTCTCAGTCGCAGCTCTTTCCATGGGCAGACTGGAATGTCATTGATTCTCTAGACCTTTTGTTTTTAATTAAATCATAACTGTGTACATTAATTAATTTATGGGGTACAACATGCTGATTTTATATACAATTTGGAATGTTTACATCAAACTGGTTGACATAGCCTTCACCTCACTTATTTGTTGTGTTCAGATATTTATAATCTACTCTTAATAGTTTTGACATGTAACATGTCAAGGACTTTTTCAGCTGTAGAATCATATTTCTCTGATTCTGTTTTCATTAGTTGGTGATTTGAAAGATAGGAACAGGCCTTCTTCCTATTTGAACGGGCTTTATTTTCTCTAGGAGACTATTGTGAAAGACAACCCTATATTCCCCATCCCAGGATGCCAATTTTCCTTCTATTGTCTTTTCAGCACTGATCCCGAGAAATATTAGAGAAGGCAACGTGAGGATGCTGGGCATGCAGATCCCCATAAAGAATGTTGAGATGCTGACTTCTCTTTTGATTGTAATGAGTGTCGTCCTCCTGCTCATTGCTCTGGCTCTTGGTGGTGTGGTTTGGTACCAGTATAGGCAAAGAAAGCTACGCCGCAATAGGAGGTCCATCCTGGATGATAGCTTCAAACTTCTATCTCTCAAGCAGTAACAAGTGGAACCTAGATATATACTGAGGAAGAAAATATGGAATGCACTCCCAGCAGGCCATGGACTAGCAGTAAATCCCATTATCAAAAGGGAATGGGTAGTGGAGATGTAAAGAAGGGGATCAAACTTATCTGGGTATTTCTTCATTTATTTATTTACATGGAAATTATATTGCTCCATTTTTTCTTTAATTTCTTTATTCTACTTGGGCACGTGGGGTAGGTGAGTCTCCTAATATCTTACATAAAAAATTTCAACAGCCGTACTGTAATATTGTCTAACACTTGGACGGTCTGAAAATTCCTATAAACTGATTAATCTTACACAGTAGATAGCAAGAAAAAACTTCATTGATTACATTTCTTGTGCTTAACATAACCCCGGCAATTTCACTTTGAAATGAGGACAAGTGAGCTGTGAAGATAACTCACATCTAAACTAAGGGCTAAGAACATATCCACAATAGGAAATTGGGAATAGAGTGGGAACTGGGAATTTGAATTGAATATTGACTCTCCTTTGCAGTGAATTACTTTTGAGATGTGGTAAATGGGATGTTGCTACCTTGAGTACCTAAAACCTCTGGAGTCAGAAGCTCCTAAGAAAGGAGCTCCAAGTTCTACACAGTGGTACTGAAGGGAAGTCCTCCAAGTTCTACACAGTGGTACTGAAAGGAATTTTGAGTGGCCTTTCCATGTTTTAGGCAGTAAATTCTGTCAAATAAAGTACTTGTTAAAATGAGAAAAGATTGGATTTTTTTTTTTTTTTTGTATCTGTGGATTTTGAGAGATGTGATTGTGATTGAAACAGAAAATACTTGGGGAGGGAGTTTGGGAAAGAATAGTACAGATCTGTCTATCATTTGTAGATCCTGAAAGTTTATTGTTTGGAGATAAGGAAACTGTCCCAAAAGAAGCCTCAAAGTCAGAGTTGTGGGTACCATCCTAGAAAAGGAGATAGTCCATGCTTAACAAAAAAGTTCTGATTGCTATAAAGAGTTTCCAGAGGTAAATAGAAGTATGTTAAAAGACTCAAACCTGTCTACTTGGCAAAGAGAGATATGTGACCTATGAAGATAACGTACATTTAAACTAAGATCTAAGAACATAGCTGTGATAGGAAATTGAGAATTGGGCCATATATCTTATGGGCTCTTTTTTGGTAGTGGGTTATAAAAAATTCTACTTGAAACTTTGGAAGCCATTTTATGGAATAGAACCATTCCATTAGGTATCTTACAACAATATTCTTTTGTCACCTGAAAGTCTAAGCCCCTGGGAAATCTTGATCAGAGAGCACAGGAGACAAGTGATATATTAGGGATGGGGTAAGTTGAATCACCCCAATGGCAGTATCCACAACACTGTACTACTTGATAAGTGGAGAATCTAAGAGAGTAAAGATGATAACTAAAATACATAGTGTTTTACACTTTATAAAGCATTATAATTCCTGATTGTATTTGACTTGCCTCACATATATATTAGAGTGCTCTTCCAGTTTACATTTGAATAAAATTCTCATGGCCATTAAGGAATTTTACCCAAGACCACTCACCTAAAAGTTGAGAAGGGATTTTAGTATTCATCTCTTTGACTCCAAATATCTGTTTTACTCTATATCATGGAAAAATCCAGTAACTTCAATTTTTCTTAATTGTATCAATTCCAACTTTTCTGTTTGCTCAGCAACCTGTCTTCTTAGTTAGCAACCCCTTGCATATAAAAGGTAGAAACCCAGAGATCTGGTATTTGAGTACCATATAATGTTGAACATTAGAAGAAGAAACATAAACCAGATCCTATTATTCATCTTTTTTGTTTGTTTGTTTTTTGCCACTATCAACACCATTCTGGAGAGCTTTACTAGAAATCTCAGCAACATAGTAAGAGTAGAGGGAGTGGTTAGAGTTCCAGTTATCCAAGTGTTAACCATTGCAGAGTCAATGTATTTATCATCAACAGAATCCTTTTGGCCTCTAGCTAACACCGCAGCTCACAAAAACCAGTGTGTTGTAAGGCCTGCAACCAATTAATGGTTTTAATTTATATGCACCTGGGACATCCCTGGCTTGGTCTCAGTAATGAATCTGAGAGTGGTAGATATGATCAGATACATTTGGTCTTAGTGTAAAATCCAGGCTCCAGGTCAAAGAATGAAAGATTAGTGTCTGTGTATTTAAGAAAAGGGTATATTTTTGTGGTGCATTTGCTTCATGTGGGGATGTAAAGACATATTTTTGACAGTTAAGTGGCACTGCCATCCATTTAGTCACTCAGGCCAGAAATTCTGTGTCTCTGTGTCAACATGTTCATGAGCCTTGTTTATTTCACCTCCATATATCTTTAAGTATTCATTTGTTTCCATCTCTATTATATCATATCAGTTTAAAACACACTCTCTATTATCTGGGTAACTGTAGTAGTTTCCTGCTTACTTCCCTCATGTTCTCTCTGGCCCCTAAAATTTATTTTCACATAGAAAAATTGTTTTCAGAATATAAACCAGGATTTTAGTTTGTAAAAAATGTCATACACTTGTCTGTCCCCAGAAATCATGAAAGAAGAAAAATGTAAGTTACTTCAGAAGGCAGGAGGAGGAAGGCAGACTGGCTAGGGGCACAGGATTGGAAGAGAATCACAGCCCATCAACTCCCAATCTGACAAAAGACATGCCAAGTTGGAAGGGAGTCATAGTGACAACTATAGGTGGGCCTGGTAGCCCTGGAAAGGAAAATTTACATGGAGACTTTCTGACACAAAATGGCCAGTGGAAATGTTCTTCATCTCTGCTAGCCAGGAACCCCTCCCCAACCAAACACCAGGCATCAACTCCCACAAGGAACCTCAACACAGTAAGCTGCCCAACTCAGGAAGCACTGTTTATTCCTCCAAGCTAAAGGATTTCTTTCCCTATCCAGAGTCACCATCTGGCTATGATAAGGATTGAAAGGAGTCTGGGAGACATCACAGGAACCAAACCAAACAAAATAGTATATCAAAGTTTCTGAAAATTTTGCCAGGACGTGTGTGCCAAACCTATACAGGGTGACTATTTGCTTAAATACACTATTTAAATAAGGCTCAGAGTTCCATCATACCAAGAACAAGGAAAATTACAACTTGAACGAGAAAACACAACCAACAGACACAAACACTGTGATAAAACAAACACTTCAATTATCTCAAAAAGATTGTAATGCAGCAGCTATCATAAAAATGCTTCCATAAACAAGTATAAATGCTCTTGAAATAGTTGAAAAAATTAAAAATCTCAACAAAGAAATGAAAGGTATAATAAAAAAGAAAAATGGAGTGTATAGAACTGGAAAATATAATTGAAATGAAAAATCACAGGATGGGCTTAATATAACAGTGGAGGTAACAGAAGATAGAATTAGTGTATGTGAGGCCAATTCAGTAGAATTTACTGAATCCAGACAATGGGGGAAAATAGCCTGAATGACCAGAATCCTAGAGGCTTATACAACAGTGTAAATAGAAGCATAATTCATAATATAGGAACCTAAGAAGAGGAGAAAGAGAGTGGGACCAAAAGAATACTTGAAGAATAATGGTTGAAAACTTCCCAAACCTGAGAAGGGGGTGGAGGCAAGATGGCCTACTGGAGCCAGCTTTCCACAGAGGCTACCGTCCAGAAGGAGAGATAAAGGACAGAAGTTTAGCAAGTAAGCCAATGGTTTGGAGCTGAGCCAAGAGAGAAGGTTGAAGAATGCACATCAACCCTGCTGAGGCAAGTGACGACCTCAAAGAAACAATAGGTACAAAATCCATTGCCAAGCAGATGGGAGTCCCCTCCCCGGAGAGAATGGATTGCAGAATACTTTATACAAACAAGTGAGCAGAGTACAGATTCCATCATATTTTATCCCACCAGAGAGACCCTCTAAAAACTGGAACTACTTCCCTAAAGAGGACTAGGCACTTTTCCAACAGGCATGAAATTGTATAAAACTGTATATATTCTCTACCTGCAATTCTGAACTTCCAGCACCCCCCTCAAGTCTCATCCCAAGGTCTGGAAGCCTGTCCCCCATGGAGTCCAGATTCTTGGGCATTTTCTCAAAAATTGTGGACAGGGCCTAGGGTATTGCTGGTCTGTGCTGATTCTGTGGCATGGGAGTAAGGAGAAGATGGTGAATTGAGGGAACCATAAGGGAGAGGGAGAGGTGGTGACCCATGGCACAGAGCAACAGTCCAACTGGTGGGAACAATAAGGCTCACACTGCTGGGGATACTTTGGAGAGACACTCCCTGCCTCTCTGGGCAACCAGAGGAAGCCGGGCATCTTCTCCGGAGGAAGCCACTGACCACTGGTGGAACAGATCTGGGATGGAAATGCAGGCACCAAGAGTAAATGGTATGCCTGAGGCAGTACTGGCCTAGGTGGGGCACGGTGGGGCTGGAGACTAGAATGCGTGTGCACAGAGATGGTATATTCCCAGGATGGGGCTGAGCCAGGACTGCTTAAGTAAACCTAAGAAGCACGTGGACCTCAGGGGATCATAGCTGAGACAAAGGCAGGCAGGCAGGGGCTGGAACTGAGAGCTGAGTGAGCTCTAACTGCACCTGCACCTGCCCCAACACAGACTGCAGCCAAGACAGACACACCAGCTCCAGGAAGCATCATAGACTGGGGCTGAGTCACAGTTTCTGTGAACTCAAACTGTGTCTAATCCACAGGGGAATATATCCAGAACAGAAACAAATTCTGTGAAACTGTTCTGTTTTGTCAGCAACATCAATCAGAGGTGGGACTGGAACTAAGTGAACCACCCCAGCCTTCATTAAGCATCCGAGGTTGTCAGGCCATAGCTCCCCCTGCAGGATGGTAGCAGAGAGCAGCAACCTGGCCCAGGAGACATAGATATCCCTGTGACTCAGGCAGGTGCAAACACCTGGAGCTTCTGCTCATTGAAGGGAATTGGGTCACAGCCCTGCGGGGTTACCAGTGACTGAGTGTGACAGAGTTGCAAGGTAGGGAAGGAGGCATCAACCTTCCCAGACTAAGTCATTTGCTGGATGGGTCCATCTGACTTCAAGGAGGACTAGAGTGAGTCATATTTGAGCTTCAAGCAGACCCCTGCTATCTAGTTTCTAGAGACCATTTAAACTCTCCCAATTGACACTGGTGCTGACTGGGACAATAGATTTGGACCTCTTGAACTAGGCCAATTACCCAAGGACTATCCAAAGTGATACCCTGGGTGTGTGGTTATGGGAAAGTTTTATTTTCCTTTTCCATTTGTTGCCTGTGGGTGGCATGGTGACTTAATCACTGGTATTTGTCCACAGCTGAGACTTCAACCAAG